TAAAAAGCAGGGGCAGCCCCGGCGGGGCAGCTCGGAACGTGAGGAGGAGAAATCACGGCCACCCATGGAGGTGGGAATGGGGGGCTCCAGGGAGCACTTCTCCTGGCCCTGCTGGTGCCTGTAAATCAGGTGCTGGGAAGGTGCGATTGTGCCGGGGGAGGTGGGAGGAGAGAGGGGGAGTTGTCATCGCCTTTTCCTGGCAGGGTCGCCCTCGCCACGCTCTGCTCGGGCTCTGTCCCGCTGGCAAGACCCCGTGGCCATCCCTGGCACCATGGTGAGGAACGTGGACGACTTTGACTTCTGCCTGCCTTCACACGCCCAGGGCGTGCTGGAGGGGCTGCAGCGGCTGCGTGCCAACCCCAAACTGGCGGATGTGACGCTGGTGGCGGGCGGACGGGAGTTCCCCTGCCACCGTGGCGTCCTGGCCCTCTGCAGCCACTACTTCCATGCCATGTTCTCTGGCGACTTCGCTGAGAGCATCGCGGCAAGGGTGGAGCTGAAGGAGGTGGACCCCAGTGCGCTAGAGATGCTGCTTGACTTCGCCTACACAGGGAAGGTCACCATCAACCAGGGCAACGTGGAGGGGCTGATGCGGACCTCCAGCCAGCTCCACTTCCCCACTATCCAGAAGGTCTGCAGCCGCTACCTCCGGCAGCAGATGGACGCCACCAACTGCCTAGGTATCTGTGAGTTCGGCGAGAGCCACGGCTGCCCTGAGGTCTCCTCCAAGGCCTGGTCTTTCTTGCAGGAGAACTTTGAAGCCGTCTCTCAGCAGGAGGAGTTCCTCCAGCTCTCCAAGGAGAGGTTGGCTGTCTACCTCTCCAACGACCAGCTGCAGGTGCAGGAGGAGCAGAGCCTGGCCGAGGCCGTGCTGCGCTGGGTACGCCACGACCCAGGGCCCCGAGCCCAGTTCCTGCCCGAGCTGCTGGAGCTGGCCCACCTCGTCTCGCTGCCTGACCAGTACCTGCAGAACTTGCTTGCCACCGAGCCCCTTGTCCGTGACTCAGATGCCAGCAAGGCCCTCGTTGCCCGATCCTGCGCCACGGTGGGTACCCTCTGCCCCACATCCCACCCTCTGAGCTCAGTGGGGGCTCAGCTCAGAGCCTGACAGTCCCACCCTGGCCTCTTCCTCAGGGGCAAAGCAACGCCAGTGCTCAGAAGAACCCGCCAACCCCACCACAGAAGCTGGAGGAGGTGCTGGTGGTGGTCGGTGGTCGTGTGCTGGAGGAGAGCGAGGATGAAGATGGGGGACTGGAGATGCCAGCCGCCCCCAGGAACTTCGCCTTCTATAACCCCAAAAGCAGTGAGTGCCCACGGCAGGGTTGGTGCAAGTGCCCCCCCCCCGCATGTTAATTAACCCCCTGCCTACCCCAAAGCCACCTCTTGCCGAATGATCTAGTTTCAGGAGGGGCATGGGAGGGGAGGGAGGAGTGAAATGGGGCTGGCTTAAAAGCGTCACCACTGGCTAGGGGGGGTCACTGCTTGGCTCTGCTGGGTTTCAGGGCGATGGATGGCTCTGCCCGACTTCCCCGATTACAACAAATGGGGATTTTCCCTGGTGGCTCTGAACAACGACGTGTACGTCACAGGTAGGTGCCAGGGCTGCCAGTGGGGGGTGGGGGTCCCCAAGGAATGGGGATGGGGGGCAAAAATGTGGGCATGGGGTATTGGCGTGGGGCTGAGGGCTCCCCTCCCCTCTGAGCAAAGCCCTCTCCTTGCTCCCCTCCTGGGCGCATCCGGCGCGGGTGGGGGATGCCCAGGGATGGCTGTGCTCCGAGCAGGTGGCCCCGCCTGACCCATCCCTCCCCAGGTGGCTCCCGGGGGTCTCAGAACGACACGTGGTCAACAACCCAGGCCTGGCGCTTCTGCCCCAGGGATGGTGCCTGGAAGCCCATCGCTTCCATGCTGAGAGCCCGGACAAACCACACCAGCGCCGTCCTCAATGGTGAGATCTACGTCATTGGGGGTAAGGCCGCGAGGACCCTGTGTGTGCTGTTGGGGTCGGGGCCTGTGGGTGCCCCAGTGCTGAGGGCTGGCTGCAGCATCCTGCCACCCTGCAGGGACAACGGTGGACGTGGTGGAGGTGGAGCGCTATGACCCCTACAACAAGAGCTGGTGTGCCATCAGCCCAGCCCTCAAGTACGTGAGCAATTTTGCGGCCGCCAGCTGCTTGGGCAAGCTCTACCTGGTGGGCTCCTGCGCCGTCAAGTACAACGCGCTCACGCTGCAGTGCTACAACCCTGTCCAAGGTGAGAGCTGACCCTGCTGCTGCACCCCACCAATGCCTTCCCAGGGAGCAGGACTGAGGGGACCCCCAGGCAGGGGACATCCTTTGCCACCAGGCACGATCCCACGGGATGCAACCAGGTGCTAACGGGGCCCTCTGGCAGCCGCAGCATGGGCCAGGGGCCAGCCAGGAGCACAGCCGCCGGCAGCATGGACCTGAGCCGCAGACCTCCAGGCCTGAGCCTCAGTGGAGCAGGGTCCCTAGGGCAGAGGGATGGGGGAGGCTGCCCGCCTTAGGGAGAAGCTAAACCCCTGTGATGACACCACTGCCTCAGGCAGCCTCTGCGCAGCCTGTGGTGGTCTCCCCCACCTCACACCACCACTGCAAGTGATGGCCCCATGCTTATTTTTTATGCAAGAGCCTCATCTGGGATGGAGACTGTGGGTGCTGCCCTGCCTGGGCACTCTGTCCCCTCCCTTTCAAACTCCCCCTTAAATAGCTGCGGGCTTGGTGATGCTTTTTTCGGTCACTGGCAGCTGCATCAAGAGCCAAGGGTGGGACACATGGCTGACGGCTGCTCCTTGCAGATTTGTGGAGTGTGATCACATCCCCCTTCATCCCCAAGTACCTCTCGGCCCCGCGCTGCGCCACCCTGCGTGGGCTCATCTACCTCATCGGGGACAACACCAAGAAGGTCCATGTGTACAACCCGGAGGCTAACATCTGGCAGAAGGTAGCAGGATTGGAGGGGATCGACCTCTGGGTGGGGCAGCTGTTCCCTCCCAGCCACCCCCTCTCCCTCCTGCCCGCTCATCCCTTGGCTCTGTTAACCCTTGCGGAGCTGAAGATGCCCCAGTCCTTCCTTCCCTGCCCCCCTGTCTCACCCGCACTAGGAGCACAGCTTTCACACTGAGGTACTGATTTTAAGCAGTGTTCACGCTGCAGAAGCCCACAGGAGCCCCCCCCCTTTCCAGGTCTCCCCCTTTTCCAGCACCACCCTGCTGCAGGCTGTGCAGCTCTCCTGCCTGCAAAATCCTGCCTGTCCCCTCTGCCTTCCAGCGCCCTGCTCTGCACAGCATCCCCAACCATGCTCCCCTATGAGCACAACACGGGGATGCTGCTAAAAGCCAGCCATGGCCCCAGGGGCCCCCAAACTTTGCAGAGAGGATGGGGCGGGGGGGGGGGGGGAGGCGCCGGGGTTTTTTTGGAGAGGGGGGGGATGGTGCCACTGGGTGACCGGCTCTTCGTCACCGGTGGCCACTGGAAGGGCATGGATGGAGACTACCGGGTGGAGATGGAGGTGTATGACTGTGCCAAGGACCTCTGGACAAGGGAGGGCTCCCTGCCCTGCCTCTGGCTCTTCCACAGCTCCTCCTCCATATTCATGGACACCTCCAAGTGGACGGAGGCTTTCCAGGGTGCCCACGGGTGGTAGGAGACCCTGCGGCGTTGCCTGTCACCCTGCACTGCTGCTCTCCCCCTCTCGCCCCTCTCCCTGCTGCCGGTTC